GAACCCCCGACAGGGGTCGCTGGGCGCTGCGTTCGGCGGCCCAGGGAGGTCCCCAGGAGGGACCCGGCGACGGCTCTCGCTCCTCGCTCTCCCCCTCAGGCCGGCGGCGCCCGTAGAGCTGGTCTCATCCCTCCGGAGTGGAGAGGTTGGAGAAAAAAGTTTGCAGTTCTGACACCTGCCCTCTAAAGGAAGGCTCCATAGCCTGGAGAGCTCAGGAAGGGGAAGAACGAGGGTTGTTTTTCTAGAAAAGCTCAGAGTTCATTCCTTCTTCCCTTTAGGAAACTGCTCCTCCCCCAGCCGCACGTTGGGCAAAGGTAAACTCGGCAGGAGGGAGTTTAGGGTCAGCCAGTTCCAGCTCCCGGAGCCTCACCCTGGAGATGGATCCGCGCCCGGCCCACGTCGTCACATTCACGTGCTTAATAACGCCTGTTAGAATTCGCATCTGCAGATTGTCTTTAAAAATAACCTGGCCTCTCTGAAGGGACTATCACGAACTACCTCTTATTACAACTTCATACTCAAAGGAACCGACAAGCCACGGTTCAAAGCGCGATCGACAGTAACTGAACAGCCGGAAATCAGGCCCGCTGAGTGGGAGAGGGAGGGCGAGGCAGGATGAAGGTACAGTCCCGGAGAGCCTTAATTCACTACTGCTGGAGTGCTCGGATTCAAACTGACCTGGAGACTACGCGTGAAACACACTCTCCTTCCCTTGTCTCTCCCTCTGCTGGAGAATTCTAAAGACAGTGAGCTCGAGCAAGCACTGGTACCCTGCTGCAAAGGACAAACGTGAAAGGCCAGAGAAATCCACAGCACGCAATGACCTAAAGTGGTCACCGGTAAAGAAAACAGTCTGATCTGTACACCGGAGCCTCGGCTAACTGGTTTGCTCTGGTCGGGAAGCGGTGTGCGCGAACGAGCCGCATTCAACTTCTCCGCTTGCAAAGTGCCTTGCTCTGCTTTCCGTGCTCTGGGGTTAATACTGACTAAACCACTACCTCAGCCTTGTTTGCTTTCTCTAATTGCCACAATTTAAATACAGGTACAATCAGGGCGTGAGAGCCGCCTCCCTGATATATATATGTGAGAAGGGCAAGGCGGGGGTGCAAACATGTACGTTTTAAAATTGTTCTAAAATAAAAGTAATTTTATTCTAGTTTAATTTGAATTGGAATAAATCTCAAGACTCTGTTGGATAGGTTTATTTATTAAAAGTTACCATAAGCAATACTGCTATCTTTACATTTTAAAAGTTTGATGGCCACGTGTCTTCCGACAGCTTTCCAACAAAGACCAAATAGAAATTTCACTGTGCCATAAGACAGTGACCCTGGAGAGAAGATTATGCATGTATGTCCACAGCACTGTAATACTGCACAGGGTGGAATGTGCGTGGTCGCTGAAGGTTGGCTGAAATAACTCCGCTTTCCCAGGAGGGGCCACTGCTCTGCAAGCGAGGGACAGAAGAACTCAGAAAACGGAAGTCCTCTCAAGGGTGTAATTCGTCCTCCCTGCGCGTTATCAAACAGCATTACTTTCGAGTTCACGGACTCAAAGCAAAAAAGGTATTTTGAGATGTAAAACAAATGAAGATCTTCCCAAGTAAAAGTAAAATCCAAGCCTATGAAAATAACAATGCACTCACTTTTGTTTTGGGACTAGATGACCTCTCGAAACAGCTTATTAATGAATAGTAATTTTTCACATGAGGATATTGGAAAAGCCTCCAATTTTGTGATAACTTTCTCTTTCACTGAGCCTATAGAAGTAGCAAACAATCATTAAAAAATAAGAGGAAAAAAAACACAAAGAAAGCAGACTGATATTCCAGGACCTTTAAAATAAAACATGGGCAGCAGCATTCCTATGGAAATTTTAGGACTGCGAAATGAGTAAATATAAAAGAAAGTGAGCATAAATTAGCGTTTAATAATTATTTTCCTTAGGTTGATGTAACAGAGGGAAGAAGGAGAGGAAAGCACTGCAATGAGATGGGTTAAAAGAACTTTAGGGAAAGATGGTGAAGCTGCAGTGAATGTAAGGCTGCTGCCTGTAACCTGTTCAGATCGAGTCTCTATGTCAATTGCAGGTCAATTGTCAGGAAATTCAGGCCAAAGACCCCAGTTTTGTTCTAGTAATACATCGTTGAAATATTTTTATTCTTTATGTTAATTCATTTTATTTTTCAAGGGGTTACTTTATTACATTACTTACAGCCAGCAAAAAGATTAACCAAATAAAAATCCATTTCTTCAATAGTTAAAACATTTATGAGATTTATCAAGAGCTTGAAATTATCCTTAAATTATTCATCTCTGTGGTCAGTAAGTGGCAAATGAATATCTTTGGCCTTTTTTAAAAACCTTGCAACTGACCATAACAAGAGACAGAGGAAGGAAGATTTTTGCTTTTAAAAAATGTAAGATGGGAATATCAATTGTATAATGTAGAAATGATGTATCTTCATGGTTTAATGTTATGAATTTGTTGTGTATTGTTCAGATCTTCAGAACACATCATATAGGGTATGTCAGCTCCCAGGTAATATGTCAACCTGTCAACCTGTCAACATATGTAAACTAAAAAAAAAAAAGAAAAGAGCGGAGAATTATAAATAAGCACCTTGAAAAATAAAGGCAAAACCTAGATCTTATGTAAAATGACAGCTTAAAAGAAGTGCAATCATGTATCATTACAGTTTTTCTTTTGTAGGCTCAACTTTGAGAAGCACTCTTAGAATCTACACAGCTCGTTGACTATACTCTTAAGTAATTCCTTTTTGGGAAAGATGCCAAGAAAATTTTTTAAATGAGGAAAATTAAATAAAAGAAGACTTAACGTGAGAATAGATTGCATTTTTGCCAAATATCCATTTTGACAGTAATGAGAATTTAATTTAGAATTCTCCAAATAGTTACTTTTAACTTTTTAAAAAAAGTAACAAGATAGTTTAAACAAAGATTACATTTTTTTAAAGTTTTGTGACAAATTTGACACTAATGAAGATTCATAAATGTAAAAAAAAAACCTCACCAGTCAACTCCAAAACAATCCCTAAATACATATGATTCATTCATTCAACAAACATTTATGGAACTTGATGCTTCCCAGTAGAGAGATAAAAATAAAATATTATCCCATGTTTACATGAAGCTAAAATATTCTAAGAAAGACATAAAACAAGTTATTGTACTACAATATGAAAGCAAGCTAGATAGGTTATCTGGAGTCTAGAACTTATAAAATAGAAAGGACCTTTTTAAAGGATAACAGTATAGAACTGGAAATATAAATTTACACTGGGGGTGTAGCTCAATATTAGAACAGCTACTTAGCATGTACAAGGCCCTGGGTTCAATTCCCAGCTCCAAAACAAAACAAAACCAAAAAAAATACATATTTAGGTACGGCAACATAAAAAGGACCCTTTCAGGTGAGAGTCCTTGGAGATCCGTTAGCCTTATATTTTACTTCCACTGATCTCAAGTATATCTTTCTTATCTGCAATAACTATAATCATGGCACATGACAATTCTATAGTACCTTAGAGAGTAGATAATTTTATTACTCTAAATAGGAGACAGTAAGAAACAAAAGGAATCCAAATCAAAAGAAATAAATCCGCATCAGTAAGGACTACTGTGAGGGAGGAAAATGACATGAAAGCCAATGTAATATAATTCACGGATTAGTGATTGTTCTGTATGTTTACGAAGACTCCTGGGATCAACATGCAAGATGAGTTTGTTAAAGTGTTTTGGGGCAGTAAGATGGCTTTGGCAAGGCTAGGAATGGTTTACTCTGTTACATTTGGCTCATACTTAATAGAACAACTAAGTAATCACATTCTGTCTGCTGTGAACTTGTATAACAGACCTGTTTAGAATCCAGAGAAAAAGTCTGAAAAGGTAATGTTCTAACCACATTAAAATGAAATATCTTTGTGTTTTTCTTTTTGTGTGGTTTAAAAATTCACTACACCCCAATGACTATTATTAATTTGCCATTATTAATGATAAGATTACTCCTGATTGATAATATGGATTAAATGTAGATAATACAACGATTATGAGTGCCTCTAATATCTAATTTCCTTTGTAATAAGATAAATATATGATTTAATTAATTTTCAAGACTTTAATTTCTTATAAGAGCACCATTATTCTTTCTGACCTCCACACTAATCTTTATCCTTCCCAACCCCCTTGCAACACAACATTAATTTAAATGTGTACATAATGCAAATATCTCAATTTATATATGCATACAAATGTATATACATAAATACACATAGGCATTCATTTATGTACACATCTAGTTGTACAATACATATATTGTATAGTTATAGTTACTTTTTTTCACTCTTTTGGAAATGAGAAACGTATTTGACTATGACCATATACAAAGCAGAGACTATATGTCCTTTTATCCACTTTTTCATATTGCTACCGATAGAATTCCTAGCACTGTATTTTGTACCTGATCAACACTAAATATATTTGCATAGAATGAATTTGAATAGATTAAAATAAATATTAAAACCTGGTTCTGGTATTACCATTTTCTCATCAACTACTAACGGTCTGACAATCATTTTGATGCCTTCTTTTCTACAGCAAGCCATCTCCAAATCCTATCATTTTGGATTCAGCCTCCCTTTCTTCTTCTTCATTAACTGATACCAAAATCCAAGTCTTCATTCTTTCTTTGGTATGACTATAGTAAAGCTTTCTACCAGGATGCTTATTTTCCAGCAATTATTTTGCCACACAGAGCAGTCAGAGGAGTCTTTTTGAAATGGAAATAAAATTCAATCACTCTACTTCCCTGAACTATATCTAGTCCCCATACTGAGTGTGGTGGATTAACTAATGGTCAATTAGTTGACTATCAGTTGAAGTGCTCAGCTGAACTGCATCAGGTGGTTCTGGGCATAGAAGACCCACCTGAGGATTGTTGCCAGTGGCATAAAAACAGAACTGGAGGGGAAGACCTTTTGCTGTTGATTTTCTTGGAGAAGATTGCTGAAGGCTGGTTTTCCTGCAGGGAACCTGGCTGTTCTCCTTTTCTCGTCATCACAGGAGCTCAGGTTCTTGCTATTGCTATTAATGGATGATGTTCTGGGGTCAGGGGAGCTCTGGTCTTCATTTTGATGGTTGCTTCCTGACTCTAGTGCAGATCTCTCAGCGTGGTGGCACAAATCCTTCACCTAGCTGCATTGCCATAGGCTCTAGGTTTCTGACTGACCTCATGGAGGACGTTGCCTTAGGCTCTAGGCCTTTGGTTGGATTTGGGGAGGACATTGTCTCGGGATCCAGGCCCTCAGCTGGATTCTTTGGGTCTCTAGTGTGTGGACAAATGTCTTGCACTCCTCTGGATTTGACTTTTGGGTGAATATTATATAATAATCCTATAAGTTATGTGTCCTGTATTAAATCTTCTCCCTTAAAAATCCTGACTACAGCACTGAGCAAGACTGTGTTTCATGTACAACGGTCTTGTAACACCCCTCTACAGCTTGCTGTTTTTCCCAGCCTTGGTGCCTTTACACATGCTGCTTTCCAAGTGCACCCATAGCCATCACACTTTGCCAACTTCCATTAATCATTCAGGCCCCAACTGAATTGCATTTGCTTGTAAAGCTTTTCATTACCTTCAAAACTGTTTCAGCCCATCTTCTTTTTATCTCTCACCTCACTTTTGCATCCCCTTCATAACAGTTCTTCCAGTTTGTAACTATAATTATTTTTGTGATTATTTTGTACAATGACCTATTCCCAATGGGTATGAATCTGTTTAAAGGCAAAGACTATATCATATTCAGTCTTATGTATCTAGCACTGTACTGTACTGTCTCATCTTACCTAGTACCTACATTAGTTAGTGAATGAAGATCAATAGACTTGTATGTACATAAGACTGTAACACATACATGTGTATTATGTTTATTTCATCATATTTGGGGATGCTAATGATTATGATACCAGGCATGACATTTTAAGGTAACTTTAAAAAAGCCTTTTAAAGAACGAGTATGTATATAAAATAAAAATCTTGACTCCTCAGTCTAATCTCTTAATACTTTCTCTAAGAGGTAAAATGGTAACTTATAAAATGATGAAATTCCAAGGACAGCATTTTCTCCTAAGTTGTCTCTACCAGTTTCACCTGTAGATTACATTTTTTTTGTTTTATTTACTCCCATGGATTATGGGGAGCTGCCAGTCACCTGTAAAATAGCTAAGTCTCAAGAAAGGAATTCTCACAATGATAATAGATGAAAATCTGCACACACAACATTAACAGGGCCAAAAACCTCTACTTATCCTGGGCATCATGATATAAAAATAATCTTTTTAGTAAATTATTTTACACATCACAACCAGTGATAAGTTCCCATATAAGCAGAGAATCAAATTACAAGTTGTCCCCAGTAAACACTTTGGAACATTCATGGAGTTGGACTTCAGTTCCTCTAATATTGCACATAGTAAATGCAAAGGCATTTCTCCATACCTGGCGGAGGTTTGGCTCCTGTATTTACTGTATTTACAGTACAGTATTTGCTGTACAGCTGAGAGAGATGGGCTGCTTCAAAGGCCTTCAGGAATCAACCCACAAGAACTTCTCCAAGGCTGACTTTTCCTTTCAAAGGCATTGTCTTCATTATTGTGAAGAATATTTACCCCCATTAAATTTACAATGTTGCTAAAACATAAGCTAAATGTCATGAGCGATGAATTAGTATGTCAAATATTTAAACAGTGAAAGTAATTTATAGGTCTGATCTTGTTTTTCTCTATGCGCCATAGAGAGACCTGGTAGAAATCATTTCCAAAACAGATTTGAGTATTTAGGAGGTTGCTTCATAAACCCATAAGGACAAGAGGGCTACAGGTGAAGAAACGCTAACCCATGGTGATCTGTATCTGGCCCATGCATGTAATAATTTTACAATTATTATACCTTGCTCTGTCTACTTAATTCCTTCTACTTTCTTACTAAATCTTAATGAAAATTACCTTCTTTCTCTTGGTAGAGCCCAGTTCTTCAATACTGACTTGACTAGGGATTTTGAGTTTCAAACTGAGAACAAAAGGAGGTTCTCAGTGGAATGTTACAATCGTTCCCCACCCCCAGATCCAGACCTAAAAGTCAACTTACTTTGCAGCAAGCCAAATTTCAACATGCTATATGTTAAAGAATTCATATATACATGTATATATCTTTCCAGCATCAATCATTTGGGAAAAGAATCTCACAAGTATTAACAATTCAAGAAGACAAAATATCTTTTAAAGATGATTTAGCAGAACAATTAGCTAACTTGACAGAAACCAAATGAACATCCAAAAAAAGTAACTGGTAACCAATCATGCAGAAGATTGCATTCTTATGGAAAATGTTAGTTTTTCTGCTTAATCATTAAGATTGGGTTTGCTCCAACTCTTTCCCATCAGTGCAAGATGGGGAACACCAGTTTAAATGGGAGAGTGCTGGTCTTGCTTAGGTGGGGACTTATCCACTAGGTAGAATTCTTTGGGGTTTGGAGAAATTCTGGAAGCAGTCCTGAGCCCTCATTAGTAAAATGACTGCCTAAGAATATGTTGGTGTAGTATTTGTGAGTGATCTTTCTTTGCTTTCAGAATGTACTGTTTTCTCTGAGATCCCGTGACACAGTTATACCACACTTCCAAAATTCTTTCAATCTAGCTAAAACTTGTTAAGATTGACCAAAACTAGTGTTGGTTGTATAAGGGAGAGGAGAAAGACACTTTTATGTAGGTGTCTTTTCTCTTACTTTGGGATGGCATGACCTCTTTTTAATTTTCTGTTGTTTTTCCAAAAGAGAATGACATAGAAATAATTGTCATAATTATGATTTCAATTATGTAACAAGTAGACCCCTGAGAGTTGGCAATGTGCTGGGATTTATCAGTGTATGTTTATTTTGGTTACTAAAGCTATAGTTTTACTCAAACATTCCATATAAAGAACTTACATGACTATATTTTTTAACTGATTTTTTTAAAATTTCCTTTTTCCTCTTCTGTCTTACCTAAGATACTTTTATTAAAATATTGCTGATTCTTCCCTTTCTTCCTTGTCCTTCTGCTATACCTGCACTGCCAATCTCTAATGCTGGGTAACCCTGATTAGCCATTTTCTCCATGAACATTATCTTGCTTCATTCTAACGAAGAATCCATAACAACAAAGTTCCTTTGCCCCTTCCTTTCCCTTCAGTACCACTCTCAGTCCTTTTTTTATTTATCAACTCAACAAATAACATCCTTTTCCTACTTACCACCAATTCAAATTGTCCTAGGAAATGTTTTGTTTCAGACCTTGTCATGCTGAGGGGATGCTGATACATAATCATCCTTAAACTTTTTCTTAAAACTCATAGTAAAGGGTGATAGCAAGACTTTCTTGGTACTTTTCTTTTTCTTTCTTCCATTCCTTCTTCCTCCTCCTCCTCCTCTTCCACCTCCTCCTCCTTCTTCTTCCTCTCTCTCTCTCTCTCTCTCTGAAACCCAGGGCCTGTTGCATGCTGAGCACACATTTTATCACTGAGCTACATCCACAGCTATCGTTTTTTCCTAAATCGATTCCACTTCCTTTCTTCTTTTCTTCTTTCCCTCCTTCCATCTTCTTTCTTCCTCTGGTTCCTTCACTACCTGTCCCTTAAATGCTGGCACATGTCCCAATATTTAAGACTATTTTCATTTTAATTACATGGTAATCCTATGAATATGTCATTTATTGTCACCACCTTAAATGTTGATAATACTAAATGTATATCTACAGCTCTAAATTTTGTCTGAATTCCAAGCCTCTGTTTCCAATTATCTCAAACTAAACATGTTCCAAATACAGTTGATTAATTCCTATCCTTCTTCCTCCCCCGAAACAGAAACGAGGTGGAACCCTTCATTTTTGGCTTTACATCCCCCCAACCCACATTTGGTGCCCCTAATTTCAGTGCCTTCACCTCTGAAGCAGCTTTATTTTCATCTCCTGTCTGCTTCTTCCATGATCTGGGTCCTTTTTGTCATTCTGTGACTGGATGTGTACATTCTCATTTTATTGCTTCAGTTTCAGTTCTCACACCCAGCAATTCTGCCTCCTGCAGAGTCTTCTGTAACACAGTTGTTATCTTGCCCTTCCTTACTCTGGCACCTCTATTGGATTCCAGATGTATAAAGTGGAAACTTCTCTGCAGAGGACAGCAAGGTCCTTCCCAATCTCACCAGAGCATCAGTACTCAGCCTCACTGTCTATTTCTCCCGTGCACTCCGCCCACCCTGGACTACACATATTCTCACCTGAATAACTTTAGCTGTGTTTTTCATCCTATCTAAAATTTCCTCCTCATTTTTTGCCTGGTAGACTTCTATTCTTTTTTTTTTTTGAGACTTAACTCAAAACCCAACTCTTCTATTTTTCCCTGATGTTGCCAAACAGAACCAAATGCTGCTGAATATGTTTTCCTTGTATGTATGTTCAGTTTGGCACCGGCATTATTATAATTAGTGTTTTCAAGGCTGTCTCTCTGTTATGTAGTAATTGCAAGAAATTCATCTCTATACATATCCAACATATGTATATTGTAATAACAGACTATAAATTATGTAAAGAATTCACAATTTATATTTAATTCAGCTTCAGAGTGGTTATGCAGCAGTGGCCAAATTAACTTTTTACTCTAACTCAAAGTATACATTCATGAAGTAAATACAGCTCTTCCAAGCTCTGCAGCTATAGGAGCTCTATCTTAATTGATTTAATTCAACTATAAGTTATGGTTTGCAGGGTTTCAGAACAAGGCTAGAGATATATCACCACATTTCATAGACTTAAATCTACTTTAGCCCCTTTCTATTCTGTGCCTTATTTTCTTATATTAAAAATGGCATAAATAATTAACATTTATTACTCATGAACCACCACAATTAGGTAATTGTAAAGCTCAAGAAATCTCTATTTATAAATTAAAAAGGGAATTTACTATGTGTAAACTTGGTCTTGATATCTGAAAAACTTAATTATAAGTCTGGAAGGGAGAAGTTAAGTGTCCCTTCATACAGTTAGTATTGCTTTAAATAGCCTCCCTTTCCAAGGGTGCCTGTTACCCCTAAATGTCCTGAGTCTCAGAAGGTCACTTTCTCTGCAGTGGGCCTAGAGGAAGCCTAACAAAAAAAAGTCTGTGCTAAGAGAAAGCAGCAGTGAATTGGACAAAGATTTAAATTCTTTACATCTGTTTCCTCATCGTAAGAGAAGAATTATGACATCCCTTCTATCAGATCACTATCGTGAGGCTCAGATAAGCCTGTGTAAGTAAAGTGTGCACCCCAGTCAGCACTGAGACAAAGGCAGTTCTTATGGCTGCCACTGTGTCCCTTCCAGTGACAGCTGCACCTGCTGCTGCACAGGTTGTCCCCAACATTTTTAAAGGCAAGCCAACTTAACAAAAAAATTTATACCAAAAGAATAGGTAATTTTTTAACCATTCAATAATTACTAAATAGATAACTGTGAGTGATCCCAGGCCACTGACATTTATTTGCATAAAGAGTAATAAAAACAATAAAAAGATCAACTTTTTATGGGTTTAAAGTTTTCACCAGAGAACTTGAATGTGTAGAACATGGTTGGCCATCTGTATCCACAGGCTCTGTGTCCACAGATTCAACCAATCATAGATCAAAAATGTTTGCAAAAACTAATTCCGTCTGCCCTGAATGTGTACATTTTTCTGTACATATCACTTAAATAATTCAGTAAAACACCTATTTACATAGCATTTACATTGTGTATTAGGCATTACAACTAATTTATAGATGATTAAAATATATGTAAATAATGCATAGGATGCACCCTATCACTACACCATTTTATACAAGGGACTTGAGTATCCACAGTTTTGATATCTGCTGGGGATCCTGGAAGCAAACCTTCACAGCTATCAAAGGATAACTATATGATCATCTTGCAAACAGAATTCTCAGGTTGCTTACAAGATTCCTGTTTCCTAGCATATGCACTCTGTATACCCCCCTCCCTGTGAATATGGGGAAAATTATAAAAAATGATGGGATACCACCACTCTGATTATGTCATCAAGCAGTTGGCTTTGAGTTAACCCAAAGAGTGATTATCCTGGGTGACTCTGACCCACTCACATAAGTCCTTCGTCAGGGAAGGGGACCTTTCCTGAAAGGCCTTCTCACCAACTTTGAAGTAGCTGCCCAGTAATGAAATCATAATAGGCCTTAGATGTGAAGATGGTCCCCAGGGAGGTACAGCAACCCATGGGCAGCAAGAAAACAGGGTCCTTAGTCCTACAACAAACAAAGAACTGAACCCTGACACCAACCTGAATAGCTAGCAGGGAGAACCCTGCACTACAAGATTACAACAAAACCCTTTTAACACTTAGAGGTTAGCCTTGGAAGGCCATGACCCAGTTATTCTGTGTCCAGAACTCTATGTTATTCAAGAACTATTGTTTCCAGATGCTGAGATTAGATTGGTGATTTGTTACACAGCAATAAAGAGCTAATGCAGTTATATAAGCATTTGACTATATATAGTGCCTCTGACAGCAAGGTTTTTTGGGAGGTGGGGAATGACAAACAGCAAGAAAGTTTGGACGTGTTGGTGATTACCTCTACTTTCCTACTTCCTAACTCTACAGATTTGAGCAGTCTTGTAACTTCCCCAGCCTTGATTTTCTTCATCCCAACAATGAGGAACTGAACAATAGGCAAGACAAACCCCAAGGTATGGTTCAATCTCTGAAAGTCTTCTTCTCCCTACCATTACCTGTGTGCCCTTCACCCCCTCTACCCTTCCCTATTTACAGACTTTGTTTCCATATTTTTTCTTTTCTCATAATTTTTCCATTCCCTTCTTTCTTTCCTCTTCCCTTCCCACCAACCCTACCCCTTTGGACCTTTTCTTCCTATTTCAAATTATCAATTATTCATTTTAATCATTTTAATCCTTAATTACACTTTCAGTTTCTCACACTAGAGAAACTATTCGGTATTTACACATGTGTGTCCTATTTATTTCACTTAAGAGTA